CAAAAAAATACACTCAACTGTGCGACCGTCTCGTTTATCTATGAATACTATTAGAATTGCTGATATTCTTTTGGATTTCGTTATCATTCGGGCTCTTCGCATTCAAATTTTCGCTGCTCAGGACTTGGTACCTGTTTTTACTTAAGTTGCATTTGTTCGTATTTGCGTCCAATTCAGTTAGTTATTTAATTATTATTTTATGCATACAATGTTGCATACAAGAAGTGGTAAGTTGTTGGCAGTTGATTTTTGTTGAATGTTGACGCCATCTCATTGTGAAAGGGTTAAGCGTTACGCACAAACTAGACAGTGAAAAATCACGTGCTGTTAGATGACAGGCACAATTTTCGGAGACATTCGGGAGTGTTAATAATCAATGTTATGCCTTTGTTGTCGGGCGCAGCGAGCGCCGAAAGTGGTCGATTCCAGGCAGACAGGCCTGACACGCTTAGTAACTGTCCCGCTGCAAGTAGAAGGGTGGTGGTGGCTTTGCGCGTACTTGCAGATGACGCTGTTGAATAATTGCAATTTCCAATTTTGCCGTTGTTCATTGCGTCATTCTCGTTATTTACCTACTGCTCACGTTCATAATTTATACACATATATACTACACACCCACTCGTAGATACATACATATAAATATTTTTCCAATTCCAAACGGTGGTTCAGTAGAAAGTAGATTCTTATGCGATCACTACGCGTGGTTCTATTCTTTAAGATAAGGACGTTCCGATCGCTATAGAGACGATAAGACGCAAAGTACACCCATACATCAGTTACTTATGTGCGTTACAGTTGATGATGCTGTTTTATCCCGAATCCGTGGTGCGAACGAGGTGAGCTATATACCTTCTTTTAAATATGTTTATAAATAATATGTGTATTTAATATTAACATCGGAGATTGTAGATATGGCAAAAAAACATCCGGCATCCAGTATTGGTGGAGGAGAACAGCTGTCGAGCGTACTTCGGTCCCCTACCACTGGTGCTCCAGCGATTGCCGCTTCGGTTTCGGTCGGCTGTGCAAGCCATCAACCTACTGCGACTTCTTCGGTTAGCGGTAGTGTATCCGCGGCCTGCGCCAGTGATTCTTCGTGCGGATAAACTTGTGTTAAGGATTGTGGATCGAGCACGTGCTTCTGCAAATTAGCGTTAACATGGTGCTAGAAACTATCATCCACGAGATGAGTGGTGTCGACTTGGACTCCTCCGAGGAGCTGCAGTACGGTCCCGGCATCGTTAGCAAGCTTAAGAATAGGTATCTAAGTTTGCATATGAGGAAGGCGGCCACGCTAAAGAATATGCTTGATGAAGACCACCCAATTAAGGAGGAAAACAATCATAAGTTCCCAGATAGCAGCAACCAGTTGTTCGAATCAGCAGAAAACAAGTTTACAATTTGCGTTAACCGCCCGAAAGGGCCAGCTCCAGTCATGAACGAGAAGGAAAAACCACCAGCCGGTGTCGTGAAGCAGGTGAAAAAGATCTTCGAGACACGACCGGAGCGCCCCACTAAGCCTCCTCAACATACCGGTGATGTAGCCGCTAAAGTGGCCACCTTCAAGAGCATCATCACGAAGGCATTCACGAAGCCGACACTCAAGCAGAAGCCGCAGGTGGACAAGCCGCCTCCAGCTCGTTTGCCCATCCCTTCAACGCCACCGCCGAAGATGCCTCTGCCCAGTCCCATTCCGGACGTCTCCATGATCAATGCCGAGCAAACGGACAAAGAAGAAAATACCTCTAGTCTCACTCAAACCCCGGACTTGATACTCCACTCTAGTCCCATACACACGAAACCATCGACGCGTCGAGAGGCCGACCTGCAGGATCAGCAGAACTGTATCGTGTTCAAATTCACAGGTCGGAAAGATGAAGACTTTGTTGGAAATGACGGCACCATCCGCACCGGGAAAATCGAAAAACCTAAGGTAAGTTACATTCCAGTAGACTCATACTACCTATTATTAAACAACATACATGCAAATCCACAAGACCATAACATTCCATAGGAAGTTGATTAGCTATTTATAAACATATAATCCTTTAAAGCAATACGCTGTAACTATCAACGTTGGCAGTATGTTTTACATCCCCGTTTCGTCAGGAATAGAGTTTTTTTTTGGTTTATATTTTTGTTGCATAATCGGCTAAGACTGCCGATTTCTTTATTTTCGGTATTTTCTTCGGTTTTTCTCCGAGTCTTGTTCCGCGTGATCTAGGGACTGCGTTTTTTGGTGGCGTTACGACTTGGGGAGGGTGGTTTTTCCGTTTTTGAGGTTGATTTGCTTTTCGAGGAATCTAATTTTTCGAAAGTTTTCAGATTTAGTGAGTCGTTTAAAAATCAAGTGCGTGTAGAAAAAAATTGTATTCCAGGCGCTATCGCACAGATAGCGCGCTCGAGTTTTTATGCGGCGGATAAGGTGTTGACGTAGTTGTGACGCGATATTATCTGAGACGTAGAGTTAGCTGCTCTGCGACGACTCGGCTATCGCCCAAACACGTGGTATCGGACTTTGTTCGAACGACGGTGCTTTTTTTGTCGCGGGACTTGGAGAAATTCTCGCGAGGACCTGACCGAGGGCGGCTTGCAGACCAGCGATCAAGCCCCTGAAATTTGTTTCATCCCCTTTGTTTTTTGCACTCACATTATTATTTACCTTCTCTGGTCAGCCCACGGAATGGTTTTCATAAATTTAATTAATTAAATTTATATTTAAATTAATTCTCACTAATTGGTCATTAAAGGGATTAAATTCTTTATTTTTTGCTGAGGGAAAATCGTCGCGCTGACCCTGTTCAACACGCACGTTGTATTCTCTCCCGTCAGTTTTCTTTTGCTTGCTTGACCGCTGGTGCCATCTGGAGTTAGGTGCTTTTCGCGGTGGCGCTGTTGTATCAGCGCTGCTGGGGGTGCTGCTTCGCCCGTCTGCGTGTCTGTGTGTGGGAGACGATTAATGATTAATTGCCGCGGGATTTATTACACTTGGAGTTACGTAATACTTGATTTATATTATAAGGGGTCTCGAGCACGGTCTCCCTTCAGGGTGCGTATAGGTGTGTGATTTCATTTCCGTTTATTGGGTTGAATTTTTCTTATTTAGTTTTATTTTTTCGTTGCGCAATAGGCATTATTTTGGTCATTTTCTTAGGTTTTCTCCGGGTCTCGGTGTGTCTGACTAGGGGTTGCGTTTTTGCTCGGTGTCGCGATCTGGGAAGGGTGGTTTTACCCCTGTGGGGGATGTTTTGCTATTCGTAGAATATTAATTCACGAAAGTTTTGAGATTTAGCGAGCCGTTTAAAAATCAAACGTGTGTATAAAAAAAATGTGTTTTTCGCGCTATCTTGCTGATAGTGCGCTTGAGTTTTTATGCGGCGGATAAGGCGTCGATAAATTGTGACGCGGTGGTTTTTGTTTGCGCGCGGAGTCAGCTGCTCCGCGACGACTTGGTTATCTATCAGCCACGTGATCTTGAACTTCGGTTCCGACTGTGTATTTTTTGCCGCTGTAGCGGGAGTTGGAGAAATTTTTGCGGGCGCGGTCCGGCCCGCCCTCGCGAGGTCTTGGCCACTAGCGGCGTGCTGACCACTGCAGGTCAAGCCCCCTGAGGCTCGTTTCACCCCTTTAGTTTTTTTCGCGTGAGCAATCGCCGTTCGCCCTGACCAGAGCGGTTAATTTAGGATTTGTTTAGTTTCTTTTGTGCGAGTTCTTCAAAATGCCTAACGACCGCTGAGGGATTTTGCGACTAAACTTTGACCTTTCTGCGGAGTTTTATCGATTGTGGTGGTTGCATCATAAGTTGAGGTCTAGCTTGACCGGTGGTTAGTACCTAAGGGCCAGCGGGCCCAAGGGTTGGTGGTTTAAGGGCCAAGGGTCGAAGGGTCAACTTTTTTTTTGCGGGATGAGTAAGGCGACAGGAAAGGTGGTTCGTCGCACCAGTGATGCTTCCGCTCCGGGTGTTTCTGTGCGTCGCGCTAGCGATGCGTCGGCGGCTCGGGTACGTCTGATGATATTGGTGAAGCAAAAAAGGGGTCGGGGGCTATGAGGAGGTTAGGGACATGGGTAAAAAGTTTAGGAAGGCCATTATGGCGCATGCTGCAACCAAGGAGAAGGCCTTGACTCTTATGACGGAGAAGTCGTGGTTTGAGACGCGGATCTTTGAGCTGATGGCGCAGATTGCTGTGGCAGTGGTCAAGAAAAAGCAATTGGATGATCTTATTAAGGAGGGATATACTGTTGCGGGAGCGGATAAAGGGGATGTTTTGCCTAAAATTCTTAATACCAATGTACTTTTTTTTTTATATAAATGTATTTCTTTCTATAGACGTGTTACTTGGTTTTCACCACGTTCATACGAACGTACACTTTGTTATATCTTTGTATCACGATGTTATTATAACAATTACTCATTGTTTTTTATTCTTTCAGACTGGTGAAGGAGAAATCACGATATTACCAGGAACGTCGATGACATTTGTGGACTACGAGGAGGAGCAACGATCGTTGGAAGGTCCTATGAGTCCTTGTGATGTGAGCTTCATTAACGACAACATTCTCATCAACGGCCGTTCTAATCTTAGTCAAAAAACCAAAAAGCCCAAGGTAATGACATAAAGCTTACATACTTAAACCCGTTCTTCGGGTTCTTCTCTTTTTCATACATACATACGTACGTACATGCATACAAGATGCTCCGCAAAAACTAGTTCCGACGACCGCATTTTTGCTTATCACAATGGATGGCTTCAATGGGGACTAGCAATTTTAGAGTTTACTTCAATTGAATCGGACGATCGCTCCCCCATATAATGTTTAGGTCAGTTTCCCCCGTTTCCATTTAAATGCGAGTTAAAAAGGAAGTGCACTTGCGGCCACATTTTACTCGCTCCGTGAAAGGAAGCGTCTAGAAGTTCGCAGATACTTTTGTGCATGTGACCTTTTTATTCGTTCGCCCCGATAAGACGTTTCCATGTTCAACATGAAAAATTTTATACTGAAGTGTATGATGAAATCGACACGGCAGGTGCATATATTGATCCTGAGTTCACCCTTTCATTTGCTCTTTTATAACCAATAACAAGAACTATTTCAAAAAGTTTCATCTTGGAACACACATCAATATGTGGATACATCAAATTTAGTAACACGCATATCGAAAATGACCATATTATAATTGCTTTATTTTCGTTTGTTTATTAATGCTATTACAACTTAGAGAAGAGCAAACAATTACTGGTTCTACTTTTTTGCAGCTTCTTTCTATCGAGTTCAATTAATTGACGTTTTGTTCCGTGAAAGTGTAGATAATATGGCATTTCACTGGGAAACGTATCAGACGTTTATTGTTTTTGTCACCGATCCTAAAACATCTGTCGCGTCTTTCTATATATGTATGTTTTGTATGTATGTAGGTATGGTACACATGCGGTTTTGCTTCTTCTTGCCCGTAGACAGCAGCTCACCACGACAAAGAATGTATTATTGACATAACACGACTTCCGTTTGTTTTGCAGATGAAAATCCGGTTTGTCGAGGATGTACCGCAAATATTTGTGTACCCCTCGGAGGCTTCGATGCTTCTCCTCGATCAGCAGGACGTTCAATCTCCAACGACGATTGGCGCTATGGGACACACCGTGCCATCTCTAACAGGTAAATATATCTAACTGGAAAGGTCGAAATCCGCTCTCGATCAGTTCTAATTAGGTGCATAGACCGAATCCGAGGATTAATTCTTTCTAAACGTGTTTAATGTTACGCGAATGTTATGGGACTCGAAGATATTCTGGGTTTGGGTTTCAAAGAGCCTCGTCATTTCATGTAATGGAGCGTTTAATAATCATCATCGTGGAACATGTTGCATAATGCATGCCATACGATACGGTGTCATTTTAATTAATTCAAATAAACTAAAAGTATGTAATTTCTTAATTATTAAATAAAATAGAAGAAAATATAATCTATAACCTTTTCATCCGATGAAAACCAATTTTTGAATGGTTCTTTCAAGAAAATAACAAAAGTTTGATTATTAGTTATTTAAAATCGACGAAACATGATTTCTTTATTTTGATATTTTTATTTTGCAAGACCTTAAATTATAGAAACAAAGTAAAAACTTGATTGTCATGCATACAATTTATGTTTCATGTGGTATTAAAATATCTACATTATTTTGCATGCTTCTTGAGTTTTGGTATTGAGGTCAAACCGCGAAGAGAGATGGTCGAGGTCTCCAGTGGAGAAGATTTTTGATATATATTTGTGTGCTCCAAAGGACGGTGTTGGTGCTCTCGATGAGCCAAGGCCCACCGTCGGAGAAGAAGTTTGCTGATCATAAGGAAGCAGTTATTAGAGTTCTTCCTCTCAATAAAAGGAAGTGGCGCCCTGAATCATCCAACGTCGGGACTCACGCCCAGCCGACTTTGAAGATGTTTTTACATTTGTATTTTTTTTCGTTCACGAAGCACCCGTCGTGTTACAATATTTTGTAATACCTTTTTTTATCAACAATAATAATGAGTTGCATAATATAATGGCTTTAGATTATATTTTAAACTTCTTTGCTAAGTTCTACATAATCTATGATTGTGGAATAAGTGGAATAAGTCCTTGGAATTAATTAAATTATTGATATCCTTTTTCATTGACGCTTAATATTTTCTAACTTACATAAGAAGCTAAATTCAATTAGTCGTTTTTAGTAGTGAGAAAAAAAAAACTATATATTTATTAGTAATGGAACAAATATTCGTACGTACATATTTGTTTCTCAACCTATGGGTCGCGAAAAGACAACTGTCATCTTGTATCAAACCTAGGAAATTGCACTCTTAGCGATTTTGTAGGAAAGAGAGGTTGAGAAACACTGACATGAAGTACAAAAGTATAAGGAAACAATCATAAATATGCGATTCGCCGTCCGATTAATTGCATTCACTTAACGTACAAAATTTGTAATATGTTCGTTAATTGAACACTGGCCGAATTTAACTTTAAAATTTGTATTAAATGAATATGTTGTAATGTATGAAAATTATTTGTTGCAGGTTCATCATCGATGGGGACGTACACTCTGAAATCAGGCTGCAGCAGTGAAGAGTTCGATGACCCAGCAGTGTTGGAGCGCGAGGAACCAGTTTTGTTCAGTTCTGGGACCATTCCAGACATTATATTTCTACATACATACAAACATATAAATGTTTAAAGAAAACGAAGAGAGAAAAAAAAACATTTTGAAAATTCAATATTATATCATTAGTATTATTATTATTATTATTATTATTATTATATCTTTAGTTTAAAAAAAAAATACTCAAAGAAGAAAAGAAAAAAACATACACTATTAATCACTTTTGTAAAGTACGGAAATATTTTCCTATGATTGCATTTAAAAATGTATTAGAAAAGAACTGATCTTTTTATATAAATATATTTATAATACGCTACTTCTAAGTATTATCTTATATAGTTATACATGAGGATTACAAAAAACAAAACACGAGGATCTTCTTTTGTCTGTGAAAGAGAAACACTATGTATTGTAATTAAGATTTATTATTTGTTATTTGTTTCTGGGTGTGTTTGGGTAAATTTAGTTTATATTTGTTGTATTCTTTTTTTGTGTTACATTATGTTTTCTTATTGTATCAATTACTAAAGGATGATGATGGCGAAGAAGAAAACAATAATAAGAATCTTTTCGCTCTATATTATACTGTATATTGTACTGTTTTGTAACATTCCCGAAGGAAACCGAAAGACTGGGAATTGATTTTCAGAATAAAAAAAAAACAAAACAAAACTCTAAATGAAAAGAATTTTGAAACTATATTGTTTCTATATATATATATATATTACATTACCTATATAAAGAAAGTAAATAACGATGCGCACGTCTTTCAATTAATTCCATCAAATCATCCTCAGAATCGTCGGGTATTCCTTCTTCGCCTCGACTAGAACCTGAATATCTCCATCCAAAGACATCAGCTTGCTTCTCAAACCGTCTATGCACTGATCCAAAAAGAATAAAAAAAAGTAAATAAAATAATACGATGAAACAATGCTTTCTGGATTGTGTTTTCGTCCCAGGCGTTACCCTATAGATCGTCTTTACTATAGACCGGTCCTGAGACATAGAATTATTCATTGCAAATAAAGCTTTGTCGTCAAAGCCGCAAAGCGTAACAATCATACGTTACGATGTAGACAAGCATTTCAGGTTTTGAAGTGCGCATGCGTAGAAGTGAATCCGTGAATATTTAAAGATTTCTCAAACAGATAGCACTAGAGTGGATCTGAAAATACCCATATCACCAAAATGTTTTTATGTATTTAAAAAAAACCATACCGCCACTTAACCTAGACCAGTGGATATGAAAATACCCTTATTACCAAATTGTTTGTATGTATTTTTAAACATAAAACCTGAGGGTGACTTCACCTAACGTAATATTTTCTCGGACTTAGGACAGTAGAGTAGATAAGGAAATAAATAATTCTATAAATTATTGAGATGTATTTCTACAATAAAACCAAAATCAATACAGGCAAACCAAAAATAAATATAATTTATTATTGTACAGAAAAATAAATCATAAGAAATATAGGTTATGAATTTATTACATTGAGATATCGCGTTTCAATCTAGGATAATTACAAAAATACAAAAATAGAACACAGTGCCACAGATCACAAAAGTTTCTAAATTACAAAATGGATAGTTCACGTAACCAGTACATTTGAGCACAAGTATATTTGCAATAGTATATATGAATTATAGGAAATATTAAATACAAACGAGTTATATAGTTTAAATTTTTTTTTTTATCTTTTATTATTCATTCACAACCTGCCAACATCCCTGGCTAAAAGTTGAATGTTTTTGGCAAAGACAGAAAAAAAAGAAAAAACAAAATAAAAGCATGGAGCGGAACGATTTCCCATCGGAAATCTTCGTATAAACAATTATAAATTTAACTAAAAAGAAATAATTCGATGACAATAACAACCCAAATAAAAAACCAACAATAAAACTTACTTTTATTTTCTAAAGAGGAGGTCGAGAGTGTTGTGTCTCTTTAGTATGTGGGGGGTGTCACTATTATCTAGGAGAGATAACGCGAGACTGTTGGGGTGGTTTTCCAGTCTGTTTTGGTAACGGGCACTGAATATGGGGATTTCACTCTTAACAGTGTTCATGTGGAGGTCGTTGTGTATCGTGTCGTTCGTCACGTACCAGGGAGCCTGCACCAGGATTCGCAGGCACTTCGACTGGAAGCGTTGCAGGATCTCTATGTTGGAATTGCTGGTTGTTTCCCAAAGCTGGATGCTGTACGTCCACACTGGCTTCAGCACTGTCTTGTATATCAATAGTTTATTTTCGAGGGATAGTTGTGATCTTCTTCCGATCAGCCAGCACAACTTCCCGAACTTAATGCCCAGTTGCTTTCTCTTCATTGCTATGTGCTTCTTCCACGTGAGTAGGCGATCCAAGAACAAGCCGAAGTATTTGACATCGTCGGCCTGCGGGATAATTTTGTTGTTCAGTGTGACCGAGGGGCAGGTTACCTTTTTGAGGGTGAAGGTGACATGGCTGGATTTGGTTTCGTTGACTTTAATCCGCCACTTCCTGAGCCAACCCAAATACGCGTCGAGATGACTCTGGAGTCCACGCACAGCAATAACCGGATCCCGTTGGACGAAAGGATCGCGACGTCATCGGCGTAGGTAGCTATAGTGGTTTCATGAGATGTCGGCAGCTCGTATGTAAATAGGTTACACAACACCGGTCCCAAGATGCTTCCCTGCGGCACGCCGGATTCGATTGGATACAGCTGTGTTACTTCACCCTCCATCTTCACTTGGAAGAATCTATCACACAAAAATGACTTTAATATGCTGTAAAAGGTGTGAGGCAGCGTACTCTTAATTTTGTAGAGCAAATCCTCGTGCCACACTTTGTCGAAGGCTTGTGTTATTTTGAGGAACACAGCGGAGCAGTACTGCTTTTCCTCCATGGATCGTCTTATGTCGTTCGTCACGCGATGGATCTGCTTGATGGTGGAGTGATGTCGTCGGAATCCGAACTGGTGGTCCGGAATCACACCCTCCTCGGACAAGAATGGACGGATCCTCCGGAGCAATAACCTCTCGAAAACCTTGGACATCACCGGCAGCAGGCTGATGGGTCGGTAGGACGTGACCTCTTCTGAATCTTTTCCCGGCTTCGGTATGACGACGAGCTGAGCGACTTTCCAGTGGGAGCGAAAATAACCCGTTCTCAGCAGGGAATTGAAGATGGTCGTCAGCAACACTATGGCCTTTCTGGGTAGCTCCTTCATCACCCTTCCCGTTATTAGGTCGTAGCCAGGAGCCTTACTCGGTTTTAGGTTTCCGATGACATCCATCACCTCGAATGGTCGTACGGAATTTATAAGGAGTGACATCTGGAACGGAGCTTCCAAGAATTCATCGATCTCGCCCGATTCGTCAACGGTTGTCTGATCCGGAAAGAGTTGGAACACGTTCACAAAGTGTTCAAAATATTTATTAATTATATTGTAATGAAATTGACTAAGGAAGAAAGTTTCAACACAAATGTGTAAACTTTAACCCACTCACCGCCACTTTCTTTTCTAACTACACAAGATTTTAAATGGGGCAGAAAGACCTATCGTCAATAGCTCTGTGTATCAGTTGAATTTTTTGAAATTATATATATTTATTTTGTTCTGTGATTATTCTGCACTTCTGTAACTGAACAAGAAACCAAATCCAAACAATATCAAACTTACAATAAAGATACAGACGCTTATCAATTTATTCAACATCCACAAAAGCATGAAGTAAAATAAAGTTGATGGGCAAGTTAGCGAATTTATTGGTTTCTTTTTGATTCCCGGGTGTGCGATTCGATTCAACGACTAAAAATAGTATTACTCATCACAACTAAAAATCCACGGTAGGATTTAAGTAGACTTTTAATTATGCAGAAAGGAGTGCACCAACCCAGAGATAACCACCTGAGATGATCACTTAGCTGTGATTGTTTTAATTCATCATCCATAAAATTACTGCAACATAGGTCGAAGAAAAACGATGGAAATAAAATTTCCAAATTCACCAGAACTAAAAACATTTTACGTTATTCACGAATATGTACTGCAGCCAAAGTGGTCGAAATAATAAATTTACTGATTCATCAGAACTAAAAACCTTTGCCATTATTCACGAATAAGCTTTTAATTCTGCGGAACAGGTTTTGGATGTCCTCTCAATTTCTCGTGATAACACCCCAAATCATTAAGAAATTCACAAGAGACAAAAGACCAAAAATGGTCGGTAACACTAATTGTTTTTCGATGTGGCGTCTTGAAGTGAAGATTCTGGAAGTTTTCGACGAATCTTGAAAATCTAGATGACTTGAAGACGAGTAGATGCAGATTATAGACTGAAAGAGATTACTTCGCAGCCCAACAACTTCATTTGCCCTCACTAGGCAATGAATATTAAATCGATTCCATTCAACTGGCATTAATCTCGCAAACAGCCGTATAACAGCTTTATAATTTTGAACGTGCATTTTCAGGATTACCGACACACACGTCCAACCGCTTAGTCCGCGTTTAATTATTGTTTTCTAGTAAAAGAGTTATTTTCAAGTGCAATCAATCTTCGCACAAAACAGCACGAAAATCCAATGAAACTTTGAGCACATGAATTCTATGCATATATTTCTTGTTTTTGTTACATGAATGCATTGTTTACGTGATACGCGTACATTAATGTTTTTATTATTATTATTTTGACGTTAAATTTTTTAATAACAATTTTTCCGCTTTGTAAAGCTTCCGTCCGCCGAATTCGTTCACGATCATTTGATGCAATTTTGTTGATAAAACGTATAAATTACAAATTGGAAATGTTTTCAATTAAAACAGTATAATACTCACCACCAAATCTGCAAGAATTTACATTATTGATATGGACTTAATTTGAGCATTTTTTTTATAAATTATTCAAATTACCAGATATAAAAGTTCAATAAAACCATTAAAATGTTCATCAACTCGACAAATCTGCAAGAATCTAGAGTATTGATTTGCATGTGATTTTAGCAATTTTGATAAAACATTTTTTGTCACTTTTTCATTGTCACTGGCGGAC